AGGTAATTAATAATATGAACAGATTTTTACCCAAAACTAATCAAATCTGTGCATTAGTTCAGAGCATCCATGTGCCAAGTTTCATTGAAATCCAATGAGTGGTTCTTCAAAAATCAGTGGAACAGTCATAGAACAGCTTAAAATCAGTTAATTATCATGCAAATTAGGTAATTAATATTCATAAATTTTTACCCAAAACTAATCAAATCTGCGCACTAGTTCAGAGCATCCATGTGCCAAATGTCATCAAAATCCAATGAGTGGTTCTTTAGATATCAGTGGAACAGTCTTGGAACAGCTAAAAATCAGCTAATTATCATGCAAATTAGGTAATTAATATTCATAGATTTTTACCAAAACCTAATCAACTCTGCGCATTATCCCAGAGCATCTATGTACCAAGTTTCACCAAAATTTGATTAGTGGTTCTTGAGATAACGGTGGAACAAGAAAAGTGACATACATACATGTACATACAGACATACATGTACAGACAGGGTAACTGCAACTCCCTTTTGTGCTTCGCACACGGGAGTAAAAAAAAAACCCCTCGGACTAATATACATGTCTCATATCAGAGCCCTCAGTGGATGGTCGATTCTTTTAACGAGTTTATTCGTCCCAAAGTTGATTCATTCGATTTCTTTATATATAGGTTAGCTCGATACTATCTCGTTCAATACGCACAACAAAATCCAACCAACAAACTATCTAATCGTGGTCACACACTCACCGTACATAAGATAGCACCCTGAAGACTGAACCCCAGTAGTTTATTGTATCTCACTTTGCATTACTTTAATCCATTAATCTTAGAATCAAGTCATTAATATTTCATGATTATTGTACATTGTATAATTAATTAATGTGCCGAAAAATGGTAAACATGGTAATAGTTGTTTATTATATTTATGCACAATATCGTAAGGCTGAACAAAGGTTGAACGAAAGTGTCTTGGGACGAACGTGAAATAAGACGAATTGACTTGCACAACGAATGTGGTGGGACTAATTTACTGTGAATCCAGTATTATAAATGACCTCTCGGATTTGCATCATCCATGTAATATCGAGTTGATAAAAACCTAAAAATTGTTTCTTTTCAGCTTTAGTCCACCAAAAATAAGACCCCCTGGATTTCTGTAATCTGTATCAGTATATTACTAGTAATCACCCCCTCGGATTTGCTTCATCCATGAGGGGTGGGTTGCACGGTTACGGAAACTTAAAAATGAATCACAAGACTGGTTACGAACCAGTTGAGCAAGGCTAACTGGCTAACCAGCCAATACCCCCCCCCCCCCCGCTCATAGGGAGTCCGTACAGTTGATCATAGTTCCCGGGCTTCCTGTGGTACAACTTACAAGATCGAGGTACTACAACATAAATTAAATATCATGGTGCACTTAAGATGCATTATAGAATTAATACTTGAACAGTTTTATATCATTTACCAGTAGATTCTGAGCTATGTTCTCGTTCTACGTGAACGTGTTCTTGTTGGTGATTCTGTCCATCAGGTTCCAGACACACGGTGGCTGCGCATCCTTCGGCGACAATAACAACGGCATCGCCCGATACAAGATGCTCATGCTCCTGTTGTGCCGTAGGTTCTTGCTCTTCGTTGCCAGACATTTGAGCAGATTACTTTTCAAGTTGTTCCAGAATGGATAATAAACATTTGCAATATTAACACGAGGGTAAAACATGCAAGTTTAACAATGAAAATGCCGTGAAGCACACAACCAGGAAATTATGTTACAACTCCACCGCCTGTTAAAATGGCGCCTATCGCAAAGGCTGCTGGGAAATTGTTTCAACTAATTTCAGGAAAAACTTTTTTTAACAAAACTTTTTCAAATGACTCTAATAGAATAGAATTTGACCAAACAAACATGAAATTAAAATAAGAATGATGCATTAGACAAATTGAGACCGTTTTTCACAACGTGTGTTTTATTTTATGAAGCTCCTTTTTGAAATCGGATCTCATGTAAAGATCTTGCATAAATTGTTTTGAGGTCATTTGGGCTGACGCAGGACAACCACAGAGAACTAGCCTGACAACCTCTAGAAACATACTGAACCTGATCGACCGACTTGTCGAATGAAAGCAAAGCGCTTCCTGGATTGAGGTAGGCCCTCCTCTTTACTTCCTTGTCTACCGTGTCAACGAAATGATATTTTATATCGTCAGTGGCGACGCATATCTAGAAGGGTACGAAAAGGGGAATCCCCTTTACCTACTCCCTATTCAATGTGTACACATACGGTCTTACCAAGGTACCACGGTTAACAGCCCCCTTAGGCCGTCTGTCCGTTGAACATACCTGAATTGAATGGTGTCGTAACTAGTTTGGCATTTTGTGGTAGACAACACAAGTTTTTGCCAGTTTTAATTCTCACCATGATGTCGCAATTATTTGTTAGTTTTTCACGGTCGACCGGATTAAAATTTTAGAACAGTTATGTGTGGATAATTAATTAAAAGATTAAAGTTTACAGTTTGTTTAAAGTTGTTTTTTCCACATACTGATAAGTTTGGGCTGTCTTTCGCGTGTGGACATTTCGCAAATAAAAAAAGAAAAACGTTGACGAGGAAAAGTTTCGGTCATGACATGACAAGTAGCGATTGTCTACTGTATAATGCTGTAGACTGACGCGTTTCCAAAGCAGGAAGTCTGTTTTATTCACGAACACCAAGGAAATGATCGTGACTTGTGTATTCTCTGTGAGATTGTTTCAATTTAGCTATATACTTGGCCCACGTTACCACTTTTTAAATAGTTTTTACAATGTAGTTATATTTATCACAAACTGACACACATTTGCTAGTACTGGAAAACAAACTTGTTTGATGTATGGCCTTGAGGCCAGTTCAGTAGTTTGTGTGAAGTTTTGAAATGATTTGTTCTTGGTTCAATAATAAGGAAAGCCTTAAAAATCTTCTTTCAAAATGTTTTCCAAATAATAAGTTTGTGGTTTGTTTGTTACTAGTATTATTCTAAATACATCATCCGCTTTGTCCACATCCTGATTCTGTCACATTTTACCACCTTGCTGGAAAAAAATGGTTTTATGGGTGTTTTTCCTATAAATCTTTTATATTCAGATTAGAATTGAGAGGTTGTCCCAGGGAGGTTGTTTTATTGTTATTTATTTACATTCCATGAGATGGTCTTGACAGTTATGTTATGCCTATATATACAATAAATACATTCTGTTTCCTGAAAAATGAGCTGACTAATTTTGGTAAAATGTTTGAGTGATTAATTTCCCTCATGTTTTGAATGTCATAGCAAAATCTTGATTTGTCCAATATCCAGTAATTTGGTGGAGACTACTCAAATGTGTGCCCAATGTAGAAATTATAATCACCAGTAGTTGTACTAACCAGCAATACAGTTAACAATTGAAGCGAACAAACTCTTTAAGTTGTTATGACATATTGGAGTGTATTTATACTCTGGTGATGGACTTTTAATCTTTCACCTTACACACAGTCTCTTGATATAATGAAAGCTAAATGCATATTTAGAAAATAAAGAAATAATTTGATAATAATTTAGTATGATTATAAACAACTAATTTTCTTATTATATAAATGTTGGTTGGTGTATTCAATATATCTCTGAATAATTATGTGGAAAGTTGTTCACTACTTAGAACAGCCATTATATCAATAGGAAGTGAAACTGAAAATTGTCTTTTACAGATTTTTTTTTTTAAAACCTTAACCTTATAATCCTGTAAATTATAAACTTTCTATGTTAAAATAAAAGATTTAAATATATAACTCATTGTTGTGAGTTACTTGGGTAGAATTTACATTTATAAATATAGAGTTGTACTTTAATCTTAGCTTTAGAACACAATGAAGTTGTTGACTGAGTAACTTAATATCTGGTATACAATTGTTTGTGCAGGTGACCTAAATATATTCTTCCTATGCAGTATTGATTTACTTCAGAAGTTGTCTGTTGTCATAGATTCATCATACTTTTAAACAAACTTTTTCCTGTGTTCCGATGAAATAAAATTCATCAACCCAGGAAGTGAATCGGGTAATTGGATATTTAAATTTTATAAAGTGTAAAGATCAGTCAAGTGGATTATAGTGGGGTCCCATGTATAATAATACCGTAGTTAGTGAGCGTTACTTCCTTTTTTTGTATTACCATACGTGATGTAATGTGAAAAGTGTGCTTGTGTACACTTGAAATGAAAAGCTGATAATGTGAAAACTTCTCTAATCATTCTCAATGCTGAGACATTCTTCAGATGCACGTCATGATTGATTCAGTTTTTGCAGATAAATAGATGAGTTAAAGCTTTGTATTATACAATATTATATATTATGAAATCAATTCTTGGTAACCATGGCAATGTAAATAGAGTAGATTATGGTATATCCCTGTGGAACCACATTATTAGACCTGCCTTAGAGTATGCCTGTGAGTTACTAATATTTAGTTCAACAGATATGGAAAAATTAGAAAGAATGCAACGTACAGTGGGAAAGTTTATTCTAGGAGCATGTCGATACACAGCAAATGAAGCCGTTCTAGGGGACCTGGGGTGGATAACTATGAAAAGTAGAGTCAGTTTATTAAAACTGAATTATTACAAGAGGTTGTGTTTAATGGAATCAACCAGATGGTCAAAAATTATTTTTAATAAACTAACAGCAGTTAAAGAGAATAATCTGATTAAGACCTGGCCATGGCTAAATAGCATTGAAGATATAGAAAGAAATATAAAGATAAACAAAAGTCAATTCACTCATCTGTCTGAAAGAAATATTAAAAATTTGATTGTAAAAAGTGACGAGATTCA